GCAATCATTTATTTTGGTCTTGTTTGTGTAATTCTGATAAAGTAATTCACATACATAGTTCTTGTAAAATCTGAACTACTATTTGGGTAATTAAAATGCTGATATGATATAATTTTTATTGTTTTTCCATAACATATACCTCTATAAACATCTTTAAACACTTTTGTTTGCTTAGGCACTAGGTTTCAATGTGTTTAAAAACATTGTACATTACCTTCTAGATACAGGTCTTTTCTGTGGGGTCTCCCAGGGCTGTTCCATAGCTACTCCAGTGTCACGGTATGCTTCCATAGCAATACTATGTGATAAGGTACCCTTTGTTTTACCATAAATGTCCTCTCCACTCTATATAGATGAATAAATAAATAATTATTTAATAATTAAATAAATACATGGACTTACATAATTTGTGCTGGTGACGCAACAAATCCATACCCTTGATTTTTATAAATATTTATCGATTTCACAATTCAAATTTAAAAGACAGATTTCTATTGGCAAATGAAATAATATTGGACCAAATTTTAAATAGCACTATTAGGCACAACGCTCGTTAATTTGCTGGTTTGATTCAACTGAATTTACAATTAATATGTATTTATGAAAATCAAGGGAATGGGTTTGTTGTGTCAACAGTATTCAAATATATAATTGTATTTATAAATAATAAATACACATATACTTTCAACTATCAATAGTTCAAAACCAAAAATTGGAATAAAGTTGTAAAAGTAGAGTTGACTTTCATAGAGCTACAGCATGTTCGGCATTGTTTGAAAATATCGTTGTTTGAATATCTGCTGATTGATGGTTTTGATATTGCAAGTTAATTTAGTTTTAGTTGGAAAGGGTTTACTTTTGTCACCTACCACTTTACATGTGTTTCCTTCCCATCACCATCCCTCCCTGGGAGTTATTAGAGCATGTATGCGTAAAATATTTTTTTCAGTTTTTACAAAAGTGATATTATTCTAACACTGTTAATTGTTTTAATTTCACAAGATGCAAATATCTGTAAATTCAAGTAATATCATATTTTGTTGCAGTGCTTATTGCACAACATATGTCATTTTCATGACTATTTGCCATGGCGATTGCTCTTAAAATATCAATTTTTAGCAGAAAAACAGTTTTTATAGTAAATCAAGCTTACAGTGCTATGATCAAAATAAGTAATATTTTAATGATTCGCTATACAACAAATGGGTTTTTTGGTTTATATGCACTTCTATTGGAGATGTGATTCTAATAAAGCAAATACAATAAATTGAACAACAAATTTGATTTTTTTATTGTTGGGTGAAGGAATAAAAGAATGTGGGTTTAAACAATAACATGATCTTTGAGTTGGGGTCATATCAGATATTAACCAAAGGGCACGATACAAAGATATCTAGCTGTGTTTACTTTAGATAGTAACTGACAAAATAGACATCAAATGGTATCCTAGCAACAAAATTGTAATATAATGATATCATTTACAACAAGTCAGTGTTACGTCACCATAAATAATTTAGTGTTTTGACATCTGAAATCTGAAACTATGAAGTCACCAAGTTCGGAAAGTCTTGGCAATTTACCACCATGACATCAGGTGAGATTTGAATTGGAATTGACCAAGTCATTCAAGAGATGTGAACAGTATTAGATATTTATATAGGCTGATTATCAGAAAAAATGCCTGCCAGTTGGCCATTTTTTCATCAATAAATAACTTGAAGTGCATATGAATGACATCATACAATGTCCTTGTATCAGAAATTACCAGCAGTTGTATATGTGTCTGAGAAATGGCTCAGGATGGATGCACAGATGTATGGACAAAGCAGTCTGTTTTCAGATTTTGAGTAGTGGAATACCAGACAACTACTGGTAAATGTACACCTGTCTGGGTCTATCCTGTTGAAGCTCAATAAATAATGAATAACTCATTCAGATTTTAAAGATAACTTACTGTAACTGCTCTATGTTTTTGTCGTCTCTCATTAGTTTCTATTCCATATTCCAACTCTGTTAAGCCACCAGACCATGACTTGCTTAATTTCTGACTAGGTCTCCCCTTTTGATTGATTCCAAATCGTCCAGCATACAGGTAAGCAGACGTGGGGAGGGCTGGATCGTTAGGATTCACTGATGACATCATAGCACGATGGGAGTTCTCTAAATCATTGGGTTTTGGATCATTATTCAACCATGGTGGTCTGTCATCAGTTGGAACTGTGAAAAACAATGTTTTCTAATAAAACAAATAGCCCAGCACATTCATGTTTACTAACTACCGGTAGTATGGGCACAAATATGCAACATGAATTAGCAGTAACTTGTCATAGTTGTCGAAACAATGTTTTATGAACCAGGACACATTCATGTATATTTAATAATAGCACTGAGTGAACAATGGTATACAACCATGTGAGAAAGACAGGTTATTGCCAACCAATCACTGCATATATAGTACTGGAGAATAATGTAAAACCACAGACCCTAAAACCTTTTTTTAGGGTTTACGGTAAAACCTAGCAATAACAAACAGAATTACATCATTGTGTAATTTCATATAGTTTCAAGGCAGGAAAACTTTTATCAAATTAAGCCCTCTCGAATAGTACCCTTCAAGTTACAGAAATTTGAGGCAAAAAAAATTTAATAGTTTTGCAATGTACAGTGTTTATTGATCTACTTCATACCTGTTCTTTTTTTCTTCTTTTTCCCTTCACCAGAAACTCCTAAACCATCACTCAGTGTACCATAAAAAGAGTTCTGAAAGTATTAAACAATGATACATTCAGCAAGACTCAAATGCGTCCCATGATAAAAACTATTTGAGTGATGTAACCGCAAGAATAAGTTTTACGACAAAGTCAACGACAATGACAACAACAACAAGGACAGACGATTTCCCCTCACATACCTTGGCCTTTATCTACAATGACAAATTTTTTAACTGCTGAGCCTAAACTGTATGATATTCAGGATATGTTTAAATAATAATATATTACAAACCCCTTTTGATGGTTGCACTACGTCCAATGTTTGAAGACACGCTATATAATGTCTTTTCCATGCACCATATTCATTCTTATCAGGTGAGTAAGGTAAGAACCAACCAAACTTCACGCACTTTGGCATCCATAATTCATCCTACAGAAGTGAACACAAATATCTAAAAAAAGTTTCAAAAGTTTCTGAGCATTGCATTATGGAAGAAACCTCTACATTCTATATACCGTAATAGAAATAGATTATTATGCTAGAAATTCAATAAATGAAACATCATTTTTTTTAAATGTTTACAATTTTTATCCATGATTACATATGACTTTTTCAACCCATACCACTAAGTAATATTTTTACATGTGAAAGAAAACGCTCACCATAGCAACCAATGAAAAACATTTACATATCCCAACAACATTAACCCATAAAAATCCAACTGTAAAAGCAGAAGGACTACTATTTAAAAATTTGAAATTAAAAAAACAAAACTCACTTGCTCTGTTAGAAACTTCCAATGCCAGCACACCATAGAAGCTCTTGACAAACTCCGTGGATCAAGAAATGAGAAGACATATAAAGCTAAAATCTTTGGTAAGACCACAGTGAAATCTGACTTGCTTAATGGTACCTTGTTAGCAAACCATTCTTGAACAAAAAGTAGCTGAGATTTCTTACAATGCTGGAATATATATCCTAGAAATCTTTTTCGCTGACTGTCAGTCCACAAATCAAACTAGAATGATAAAAAAATATATTTAATTAAAAACATTACTTTGAAGTCCTGGGGTAGCAAGACTGCTTGCTTTTAATCAATACTCTTTATTGAACAATTTATTTCCCTAATTATTTCCACTGGGCAATTTGTAACCTCTTTACTGAGGCAATTGTTTTCCCAATATGGCAATTGTTTCCATCAGACATTGTTGTTCTTCAATTATCTTTACTAAGTAATTTTTTTTATTCAATTGTCTTATTTTTTATTTCCAATTCCTCCATAATTTCATTTTCTCATGACTTACTATATCAGGTAAAAGGAATGGAGTACAATAGCACACATAAAGGTCAAAGGTAGACTCGCATTCAATAATCAGTTATTGTACGGTAAAACACCAACATCATTAGTAATGTGTATAACAGGAAAGTATAATAATGAAAATTAATCTTGCAATTAATTAATTTTAATAATTGAAGTAATAAATTATTTTATAATAAACACAATGTCTCCTGTAGATAATAGATACAAATATGTAAATATGACAACAGCAGTGTATGAGTGTTTACAAATGCTATCAGATTGTAACAATTTCAGTACTCTGACTACCGGATCGATTAAGCACTATCATAAAAATATGACTGCTTCTGCTCAAGGTCAGGCTACCCCAATGTTGCACAATTTTAGAGCAACATTCTAAAAAAAATAACTAAACTAGTACATAAGTTGTTTCAACTTACCCAATGAGCAACAAGATCTCTTCGTTCTACAAAAATCTAAACATAAAAAAAGTATATGTAATTAATTGGCATTTAAATCACATAGTCATACATTAGAATTAATAAACAAATAGATAGTTTTTTTTGTTGCTAAATCTAACATTTGATTTATTTTTTGTTGTTTAACTTGTTACGTAATGCCACATTTGATTTGTACGTTATGCAGCTCCTATTTATTTATTTAAATAGTGATCCCCCCCAAAATAAATAAATAAAAATAAATAAATAAATGCACCTCCCCCTATTTCTAACCACGAAAATAAGATTGACTAGTAGTATGAGATTGGAGTTACAAACAAAATAATTATTATATTAAACTAGAATACATGGCGTGAAGACAAGTCAAACAGGTGATACAATGCCATCTTATTTTGAACTATACAGGCCCATGTTCTTATAGACGTGGCAATAATGATGTGTTTATTGACACACATCAACGGTCAACCACTGTGAATATATAACGGCAACTTCACGATTACCAATATCAAAATAAACGACCATGTTTTATCAACAAAGCAGCGAGAAATTCAATCGCCCTGCCTTAGTTATCGTGGTGTTTGATATAAACACAGTCTCCACACTTTGACATTTGACATTTGGTGACAACAAAAGCAAATATGTACTGTTGTCCCGACTCGCTAACTTACCTGGTCGTTCGACGGCTTGTGCAAGATTGGGGTCCACGTACTCATATAGTTCTTCATTTTGTGAGTTTTAAAGTTGTCAGATGTCAAAGACGACGGGTCGTGTGTTTTCTTCACAGACTGTGCCGTGCGCTCCGTCGGAAACGTCGGTTCTCGGAGCGAAGCTAGCGGGTCCATCGCCGATCGCGGAGTTCTTGTTTTAGTTGTCATCGCGTACCTTCAACTCCAAGGCGATGGAAAGGGGAAGTGTCCAGCCTTCGACCTCGGCAACTTTGTGGCGTTTGTTAAAACGTAGATCTTCAATATTCTACGTAGAATTGCGAAAGTTCGGATCAATGTTATATTACAGTAAGCTCATGTGCAACAACAGTAATGCTTGTATTCAAAAACAGCAAAAGAAACAAAAAATTCTCACTCTCACGTCAAGTTTTCATAGCAGTACCCGCCATTGTGAATGCACTTATGCGCATGCGTAGCGTGCTGGGTCCCGATTTCCGGCTTTGGTTGCTGTAGCAACAACATTATAGTAAAGGTACCGTTTGACACACCAAATCTGAAAGGAACATCGTTGCCCCGTAACTAGTTATCGGAAGTAATATATCATTGAATTATCAGTTTTAGTGCGGAGAATTCAAGTTATTTATTATTTAGGTATGTATATGTTTATTGTGTAATGCGTGTTTATTTTCATAACAGGTAACTTAGCAGAGGCGGCGGCACGGAATTTGGCACGGGGAGGGCGAGATCTGCTCACCAACCTTGCGCCGAAGACTCGACCTTACTAAGGGGTCGTTCTCCCAACAACCAATACTTTCTCAAACCATGTATGATCATTTCAAATTGTGTAAGTATGTGAATAAAGAGAGTGAATTGCATTGTTACAAATATAGTATAGTATAGTGTATTTTATTTGGCACGAAAGAATGCATTGAATTACATTATCTATGGTCAATAAACATACAACAACAAGTAACAAACATCAATAACAAATAAAACAATAAGTGAGCAAAGAAATAAAAAAAAAAAATATTAGTAGTACAAGTAATAAGAAACAAAAGTAAAATTTAGATATTGTTAGACATTATAATTTGATGAACAAATTTTCCGAGACTGTTAACAATGAAACTATCATTTGCGGTAAATAATTTGCTATTGATGTTTGTATATATATATATATAATCCTGACTGTTGCCAGTAACACCATGATTTGTATTTTATTATTTCGGGAAATCACCGACTGTAACGCTATTGCTGATTGGCTGCTTGCACCGTGATTGGCAAACACTGAGCCGGTATCGGTGTGTAAGTGAGATGATATACCCTTAATTGACAACTCATTTCTTTCATACTGTGAAATTTTGGCCAATGAATTAGCTAATGACAATAATAATTTGGAAAAAACATGTAACCAGTGACTATGAGATGCCGTTTGTGCATTTATTTATATAGCGAATCGGATTATTTATAAACTAAACCATTACGTTAACTGGTTATTTATATTTAATTGATTTGAATTATCAATATTTATTAATAACGGAAAATTACAAATTTTTACATGTTATTGTTTTATAATAGGTTTAAATACTTAAAAATCGCTATATAAATAAAAGCACAAACTGAACGGCACCCCATAAGCGACACCGGCACTTGGCAATAATTGTTCAAATTAAATACTGAAACTGGCACTGTGGTCGTGCAACGCGTGTTCGAATTTCGTCATGGTATAAACAAACAATGTATTTTTCACGCGTTGTATACGTTGCTATGAGTCCCACATTGAACAGGACGATGCGTAGTGGCTGTGGCGCTTCAATTACGCTGCTTACAAGTGTGCACTTGAATCAGAATCACAGAACTCACATTGGACAAAACATATTCATAAATCTTAGGTCATTCTGGCACAAATACAGTGAATTGTCATAACATAAATAGCATAGGAAACTCAAAATGTGTTAAAAACAAAATTAATAAATGAATAAATTCAGTCATGGAAGGAACATCCGAATAATAGTCCAAATTAAAGAATTAAAACAATGGTAATAAATTAAAAACACACAGGGTATTTAAAATACCCGGTAGAAATACTTAATTATGATGTTTATTTCAGACTATTCGATGCTTTAATTTTACCAATTCTTTTGTACGGGGCAGAAATTTGGGGGTTTAAGCAATATATTCAGGCTGAAAGAGTACAGTTGAAATTTTGTAAACATTTTCTTGGGGTTGGTGACAAAACATGTACT